GGCCGGGAAGGAAGGCGTCCGTGTCATGTGGAGCACGAATTAAACGCGCGCGCGCGCGCGCAGGAGCGGGTCGCCGCTGGGTTAAGCCGGGAGGGGCAGCGGCAGTTCGCCGGCGGGTGAAAGGGACGCGGCGGGCCGGGCTCTCCTGCGTGCCGCCGGGACGACAGCGACGGAGAGGATTCCGTGCCTGCCAAGTTCCAGGATTCCAGATTCTGGTCTCCAGTAGAATCTGCGTTTCTCTCTTTTTTTAAACCTTTGTCGGGTTCGAAAACTTGGAAATGGCAGGGCCGGATGGAATTTACATGCCGATCATGTCCCCATTCCAGGAACAGTGTCAACAAGCCGGTGGATGGACGATTCAAAGCTCCGGCTTAAGGACTGGCGATCAGCAGTCTTTAGTTTTTAACATTTTTTAAAAAAAGTACCATGGATAAGATGACCGAATTGTCTTCCTACGGAGGAAGAAGAAGAAGAGAAATCATGGTTGAATTATGAGAAACGAATCAAAAAAATTCCATTAAGATTCAAAGTTTGAGTCTTAATTTGGGTCAAGTCAAAAGAAAGTGTAAGGTTGTTCTAAGTTTTGTAATTCGACATTCCAAACTTATTCTAGTTCAAGCCTTTCTCCGAGTCAAACTTCTTGCTACACATGTGTTCTCTTTCTTTCCCCTCTTGCAAGGCGACTAGTGCAAAGCTTTTTTTCACCTTGATCTCCCCCGGCGAGCATGTGGATTTGCCTCCCCTCTGCCTGCCTCTTTGGCGGCCGGTGGCGGCGAGAGGAATCCTGGTGTCTCAGCTCCGGCTAGTAGACAGGTTAGGGTTTAGGACGACGCTCGAAGGGATGTGCTCCATGGTCCATCTTGGTTGTAGGGTGAATCGCGTTGCCCGCCGTCCGTGAGACGCCTTTCGATCCCGGCTTTGAGGGCAGCTGGCTTTTGCTGCGGCGGGGATAGATGGTTGTTGCATCCATAGTTTGGTCTTCTGAGTGCAGGCACGGGCACGATGCGTTCATGGTGGTGTCTTCCCGATGACCCAAGTTTCCTTTTAGGTGTAGGTCGCAACGGAGGACAATGCATTGCAAGTGTTTTACTCCCTCCCATCATTGCCTTCGAGTTTTTTTGTTGAGCACTTTCTATCTCCCACTCATGTTTTCTTTTTTCTGTAAATTGATGGCTTCGTTAATTTAAGGTCGAGCTCTTCATGAGCCTCCATCCTAACAGCAAGATTATAATCAAGGAGGTGATCCCATTTGTTGCAAACAAATTATATTTGGGGAAGATGTGAGGTGAAATAGGCCATCACCAACTTAATCTAATACTAATACCTACTCCCTCCGTAAACTAATATAAAAGCATTTAGATTACTATTTTAGTTATCTAAACACTTTTATATTAGTTTACAGAGGGAGTATAAAGCTAGATTACAAAAAATATCTTTAAAATATTAGATTCTTGGAAAGTGTGTTTCAAAAAAAGATTATAGGAAAGGTCAACTCCTATAGTGTCAAGTAAATTGGCCATCGAGAATCCATCAGAAAACCACTTGATGGAACCGTTACCATCTCTTTTTTTAAAAGGAGGATGACCCCTTGCTTCTGGATCTGTAAGATGCATGCAATTATTTTATTAATTATTCTTAAAGACCTTACAAAGTAATACATCAATATGTCTGAAGCTGCCATCTTGATAACATCTAACGCTACTCATATCCAATGATGAAGGGGTGCAGAAATTATGAGCCGTATATGCAGACCTCTCACGTAAGCATAACATCTAAAGCCGGAGGCCCCAACCAAGCCATATGCCATGTCTGGGGCACAAACCAGTCCAACGCACTCTCATAGGTTCTCACCGTCGTCTTCCATCGATCCATCTTCAGAGCATATACTAACGCATCGATATGTTGCCAGGCCTGCTGTCGACGCCACCATGGCACCAGCCAACACCTCCTTCCTACATGCGTTCAACATCACACATTCGTCGTCGAGGCCCTGTCGTGCCATGCCGCCGAAACTCCACGTCATTGATGCGTCACATGGAACGTCGCTCCATCGCAAATGTTGTCCACTGGTCCCTCGAGCCTATGTATACCTCCAAGAATGACGCTTCCAAGAGGGATACGACACAAGAGCGCCGCCGTCATTAGATCGACTGATCTAAGGTTTCTCCCAGAGATGGCGGATAGGGGTCTAGAGCTTCTCCATGGCGATGCCTTCAAGAAGAGGATGACACAGAAAACGCCGCCATCGGCAGCCTTGGCAACGAGCAAAGAGTAGGGTTTTCACCCGGATCTGCTCGAGGAATCTCCATCCAGCCTCGTGTGCATGGGACCGCCACCGGTCACCGCCGCAGCGCAAGGAGCAGGCCGCACCGGCCAGATCCAATCTGACCGAAGGTCAGACCACACGTACAGCGGATCCATCCGCTAGGCCCTTCATGCCACCGCCGCCAATCCGAGATCCGACCGGCCGCAGAGCTGCCCGCCGGCGCCGCAGGACCCGACCAGCCGTGCCTCCACACATCGGGGGCCCCACCCCACCCAAAGTCACGGGAGAGAATGAGAGACCCCCGCCACCACCATTTGCCATTGGGCTTAGCCCGACGACGGGAGGAGAGGAGGGAGTAGATTGGGGCTCGGCGGCTGCTAGGGTAGCGGCCCGTCCGAGTCGCCCAATGCAGGAGTGACCTTAAAAATGGGAGAGGTTTTCACTTTCTAGCCTCTTCACCAACTAGGAATGCATACAACCATTTTAGTATGAGTACCATGTCAATTTCAGAAATTGAACTCAGGTCGTTAGGCTGCAGAACCGCATGCCCAACCACTAAGCCAAGGTTAGTTATCTAAAAAAATTGATCATAAAATATATACTTAGTTGCCAAGAATTTGAGTCAATTTGCATTAACGGACAACATGTGTTGTTGGGCTCACCACCTCACATGCAGACCCATATTACTTGTCTGCAGTTGGAAATTCAAAATCTTCACATTCTACACCCCTCAAATATGAAATCGATCCATGCCAAGTGAAATTTTGCACAGTAAATTTCCAGTATATCTAACGCGGTGCCTTGACTAAATAGTTTGAATCCATGTGGTTTACTGTTCACGTACCGTACAGCTACCACTGTAAACATCAAAGAAAAAAAATAAGACATTGAAAATATTCTTCCGCCGCACGTACACACAGTAGTACACATGTATAGCTTGCGGAAAGTAGGGATCGTGATGTGTGAAATCAACACCAGTGAGTAATGAGTCACACACATTAGGTCCTTATAATTTTCTAGGCAGGTCGATTGCAGGATCACACTTCAAAAATGTACAGTGGTATTTTTTTTCTTGAAGGATAAAATAAATCCGCGTTGCCCCCCCTAAACTTTTTTCCCTCAAGATTTCTTTTTTTGCGTTTCCCTCAAGAAATTAACTCGAGCTTTTTTCAGACTTACTTAACCCTCTAAACAATTACGTTTTGGAGTAATTTACAAAGAGTCAGTTTACGTGAATGATAGTTTAGCTACCAAATGTAACCATTTATGACATGTGAAAAAAGGGCAACATATTCTTCATCGACGAAGTACATGTATGATTTTTGTTATACTTTATAGAACCCTCTATGGAAGATTTTATGTAACAAAAACCAGTTTTTTTTGAACATCAGTACAGACACAAGCGCTATGAGCACCTTCGAAAGACTGAGCCGGCATATCTTCTTGAAATTTACGAAGTCACCGTAAATGCGCATTGCCGGAAATTCTGAAATAAATCCAGGAATAAATGCGAGCACCAGAATTTAAACCCTGGTAGGTTAGGGATACCACAGTCCCTCTAACCATCCAACTACAGGTTGGTTCGCAGTAACAGAAACCAGTTGGAGGGTAAAATGCTCTAGGATGTGATCGTCCAGGGTGTTAGAGGGGAAAGTGAGTCATGATATTTTAGCTACAAAGTTTTGTTCTTTACGTTTTCCAAAACAAGGTTTTCTCGACTTCCATTTGAAGAAACCATCGTCTTCAAGGTTCATGTAAAATGTACAAAAATAACATAATATTAAAATGCCAACCGAAGGACATCTACATTGTTTATGGTTGTTTTTAAAGAAACAACATCATTCTTGGCTCGTAGGTGGAAGTTGGAGGATCCACGGAAGCTATTTCAGAACTTGGATGCTGGTTGTATGCATCGTTGCTTTATTTATAAAGCGGCACGAAAGCCTATTTCGAGCATCGTTAAGAGATCACCATTGGTTAAGATCCAACACCTAAAATTTCATAAACAAAATTAATTATGGAATATGTGATCAATCTCAAATTTAATTCACTTTATGCATTAGTACATATCTCGACGAGCATGGTGGGCTCCCGAGAGCAGTACTACGCGAGGCGCGGTAGCTCGAGGAGTTGGTAAGCACAAGGCTGATACTTTCATAGATGACGACACTGATCTGCTCCTTACCAAAATAATTGTGGCACTCTAGAAATGGCGGAAGATCAATTGTTTCTTTTTAGTGGGCGGAGAACAATATGCATTACATATTCCAAAAAGAAACAATGCCATTGTTTGCTCGTAGGGCGCAGGCTGCATGATCAACAGAAGCTGTTTGGGCATGGTTAAAAGATCACCATTGGTGAAGATCCAAGGCCTCACAAATTTTGTAAACAGAAACAATTGTGGAATATGTGATCGAACTATATTATTTGACTTTGTGCAGTACATGTACATATGCCCGTCATTATTTGCAAAATCTGAAGTTGCGGTGCCTGCATGGCCAGCCGTATAGCTTATTTTACCACACATTGGCGGCTACGGCATGCACCCATGAACCTAATGCCGAAAATGAATCAACCAAAGAAAAACGAATGTCCCCTCAAAAAAAAAAAACGAACGAATGAATCCTCTCCATGTTAATTATTTGACTGTTAATCTGCCCCTTCGACTATTTGTTATTCCTGACGTGGAGCCGGGTACTTCGCTGAATAGTAGCCGTTGATTTTCCGTTCAAAATTAGAGCCTTGAAACGATCGTTTCCCTCCTCTGCACTCTCTCCATTTTTTCCATGTGGTACAGCACCGCGTCGGCTGCCGCTGACACCAGCTCGGCTATGTCCCTGCACAGAGATTGCCATTGCATACAGTTAGCTCCCAATTGGTTGCATGCATGCATTTGCGCGTGGACATTCACGGCACAGATGGAATTATACTTAGTATATCGAAGAGGAAGAAAATGATGCATGCATGCATGCATGAGTGACGTACCCTGTGGCCGAGTCGTAGGTGAGGCCGACGGTGTTCTTGGCCTCGCGGAGCGCGTACTTGTAGCGCTCCACGTCTTGCGGGAGGTAGTCGTCGGAGGCGGCGAGGGCCTCGGGGAGCACGAGGTCGGAGGGCTTGATGTTGTAGAAGATGGGGATGATGGTCTTGCGTGACTCTACGAGCGTGGCGAGCTCCCACAGGCAGTACTCCGAGTCGAAGTAGCTCGGGGAGAAGATGGCCACGGCGACGCTGCATTCGCTGATTCCGGCGCTGATCGTCTCCCTGAGCCGGTCGCCCGGCCGCATCGACATGTTGTCCAGGAAGCCGCGGATGCCGCTCTGCGCGAGGCGGTCGTAGAGCAGGCGCGCCACCGTCCGCTTCGTGTCCACGCCGCGGTGGTTGATGAACACGTCGTACTGGGGTTCGCCGGCCAGAGACTCCTCGTCGTACTCCACCCGCCGCCCCACGACGGCGTGTCGCTGCTTCCCCCCCTCGCTCGCGCGCATGGCCTCCGCTGACGCGCTCAGCCGGGACGCCATGATGGAGGACCTACGGGAAACTCCGGTTGAGGCCATTGATGGAGCTAGGTCGAGCAAGCTCAGCGGCGTACGTGTGCGTGCGTGGATAGATGGAGATCTGTACTGCTACCGGCCGTCCGTACGAGTGTGCAGGTAGCTAGCTAGCTAGGTCCGGAACGATCGAGACGTACAGTTGGGTAGCTCACGACAGCAGCCGGATGAATTGATCAAACTGATGGATGGATCGAAATGTCCGTTGGTGAAATGACCGATCGGGGAGCTCGGGTTTATATAAGGGTAGAGAGCGGGAGCTACGATCGAGCTCTCCACGTACGGCGATGGAGACCGGCGGCACGCGCGCGAAATCGTTCGCCTGGTGGCTATGATCAACTGGTCGCGGGCGGGATCAGAGGTTTGAAAAGGTGGAAAACTAGTAGTAGTAGACGCGTACGGAGCAGCTACCGATGGAGCCATATGGTACGTGGTAGTAGTAGTCCGGTTCAATGGTGCCCTCGCGAGACGCGAGAGGAACCAACACACAGACAGACCAAGATACTATAAACTAGTAGTGAACGTTTGATCTTACGTTGATCACTTTACAATTCTCTACTAGTGTCTTTCGTTCATCGGTTTGCGTGGATAATATCATGCAGAATTGCAGATCGATCCGGCCTTTCTGCGACGAACGAAGGAACGAATTGAGGGGCGAATTCTAGGCAGCTTTGCTTTGATTTGTCAGCCAATGGGCATGCATGCTTGGACCGGAGAGGGGGAGCACATGCATGTGTGGAGTATTTTAGATGGATTGGGAGACAAGAAAACCAACCGACGGGACGGGTTGGAGGTGGAACAGAGACTCCGGCGAGAGGCGCGGGCGGGTAGAACTACCGTTTCAAAACAAGAGACCGTTTCCTTCCCGGGACGCGCGCGCGCGCATGGACGCTGACGTCATCTTGGACTCTCCGACTGTACGTACGTCCGTGTCTGCGTTCGCTTTGATGAGTTCAACTTTCAACACCTCGTACCACCTCCTCGTCCAAATTAACCCTAGCTAGTACATCTTTTCTCGGTAAAAAGGGGAGGTGATTCTTCTTTCTTCTTTTTGACAGTGGTAGTAATAAAGACGGTGATTCTTGCTTGTTTTACCGGACGAACGGGCGTCGCGTCGCGTCAAGAGGGTGCATGCCCGGTATTTGACGACATGCATGCATGGATCCACCTCGGAGCCAGGTACTGTAGATCGATTGTTTTGGGACGTGGGGCCCCGAGACTGTTCCAAGAGATCTGGGTGACAGGGACTTGAAGAGATTATAGGTAGTCCAGGTAGGACGGCGTGCAGCTGCATGCACTGCGTGCGTGCGCGCATGCGTGCATACGTGTTGATTTGTTCCTATGAACACATTTCCTTTTTTTTCTTGCGAGGAGCAGAATTTCAGCTGCAGCTACATAATTGCTGATATACTCTACTATGTCGTAATAGTGCAAATTAAAGTGTTGCATATCGAAATATCCAATTAACTGAATATTCTACGTGTAGATCTCTGTATGTGTGTTCTGCATATATACGTAGAAGGATGAAGAAGCTCTGCTAGTCCTTAGAGCATCTACAACCAGAGCACACATATCTCCCAAGTGTCCGGATGAAAAAAGTCACCCAACCGGATTGTGCTTACTCAACTCAACTCAAACGTTCAGTCCAACCCGCGCCCTCGTACCCAGCCCATATGTAGGGTGAACATTGGATGTCTAGACCCGTCCGCCATGTCTGACTGACAAGCGGGCCCACGCTAAAACTCATTGGTCCGGGGGGCGCCTCCTTCGATTTAGGTGACGATACATTCCTAGCCCCATCCTATTCTCTCGCTCCCATCCACGCCGCCGCTGCCCCTCCTCTCCATATTCCACTTCGAACCCGACGTCGTCGCCGCCCAACTGCCGCCATGGTTCGCAGCAAGATCACCTTACTGACCCCAGAGCGGTGGGCGGACATGCGCGTCATGGAGGAGGCATATGTCGCGCGTCGCGCCATATGCATTGTGGCTGGCTTGCCTTCTGATAGTCCGGGAGAGGAGGCGCCAGAGCACGAGGAGGTGGAGGCGACGGATATGGAAGAGGCGAGCATCAGGAGGAGGAGGAGGAGGAGGAGGAGGAGGAGGAGCCACCGTCGGAAGACGAGGAGGTTGAGTAGCCGCCATCTGAGGAGGAGGAGGAGGCACCAACTCCGGAGCAAGCCGAATTCGGGATGGAGGACGCATGCGTGGAGTTCGAGATTGCCCAAGAGGAGGAGGCGGCGGAGTAGCATGCCATCATCAACTCTATTTAGTCTGAGGTGGAGGCGAACCCGTCGTTTCTTCCACGAGGCGGACATGGAGCTTGAGGAGGCCAGCGTGTTCGAGGAGGACGGGGAGGAGGCACCGGCGTTTCGCCCGTCCGCCAATGACCATGATGCCGGTGTCTCCGGCACGGACGTCATCGACATATCCGATGAGGAGTAGTGTAGTTGCTAGGTTGCTAGTTCCTACTATGTTTTATGTACCTAAATCATGAATATTGCATGTCGTTGCATGAAAATGGGGATCATCAAATGGGGAGTGCGGTTTGTGATGTGTGAAATATGGAAGGTGACCCGGCGCTAATTTGCTAGTTTGTAAAATATGGGATGTGACCGGGGGTTGTAGATGCTCTTAAAGGAAGCCCTACCCCACCAGTTACCCCACGCAACATATGTGTCAGCTATTTTACGCTCATGAATATTTGAATGATGCAAATCTTCTCTGTAAAAAAAAAACTCTACTAGAGCCAAAGATGAGGTGCGAACGAACAACTAAAGCATGAGCATGCCTTTTCTATTCTCCGGGAAATATATGAGCAGGAAGTATGATCTAAATCATACTATTTTTTTATAGCCAGATTAAACAGGAACATACAAGATTGTACTTTAGTTCAAACATATTTATTGTAGCAGCCCTTTAGGACAATTCATATATTATCTTAAACAGATGTATGGTTGCAGCCCTTTGAAAAATTTATCTATTTTTTTTACCATTATACCAAACTTAAGACCCAACAAGTGAAACAAGCTTTTTGTTAAGAGAAACGAGATCTCAATACCTTAATACGTAAGAGAAAAGAAAATTCGAAGAGAAAGAAGATAGAGCATACAAACGGAAGCGGAAGAGGCCTCGTCGTAGACTCCTGGGGCACTTGCCTGTCGCCGGAGGTACAGCTGCGGAGAGTTGCGGGCTGGCGGGGCAGCGCAGGCGGCGAGCGGCCTCAGCGTTTGGTATGCAACATGTGCATCCGTGCATTGATGTGCTCCTCCTCACGGCCTTGTGGCAATTGCCAGTTAATCAGGAAAGTAAATTACGATAGTACGAGGAACCCAATTGTGACGGGATATGAGGATCAGCTGATTAGGGAAGTAATTAATTACTAGGAGGTATGTGCTGTGCCAACTGCCAGTTAATTAGGGAAGTTAATTAATTTCCGTAGTATGAGGAACCCAATTGTCACGGGATTTTGAGGATCATCAATATTCCAAATAACTTTAACTCTTGGTGTTATTTTCAAGCCGATCGAGCACGTGGTTGCACAAGTGGAAGTGGACTTGTATCATGCAGAGATGTAGAGATCTGTTCAAATGCTTGCACACCAAGATTGCATTACTAACTTAGCTCGCTATATTCAGTCAACAATTTGTATCACACTTTAAGTAGAGAATGACTGAGAATTGGTAGTCTGATCGTAGCATAGGATCGGATCAACACTATTGTGAGGACACATAATATTAAACTATTCACAATTGTCACTTTTCTTAAAGGGGGACAACCTCCCGCCTATGCATCGATTGCTACACGGTAAATTGTTGATTATTAAACAATGTCAAATATTGTTACTCTCTCCTTTTCAGTTTATAAGGTTCAATTCAAAAATCTCACCAATCAAGATAGATGACGAGTGTTGGAATATTTTTTGTAGTTTGCAAAAGCACCCAATTAATGCTCTTGTTTTCCTTAAAAAATTATATTTACGAATGCATTAATTGCAATGCATGCATGCATAAAGTGCATGCATTGGTCAGTTTTCTCTTAATACTTGCACGCAATGGTTAATGCACCTTGAAGTCTGCACGTGTGATGGGGAACAACCAAATTGAGCCTTATAAAATGGAAAAACTAAAATTTTGAGATAAGCCCTATAAACCGGAAAGGAGGGAGTACCGAACAAATCGTCTTATAAAAAAGCCGAGGTCATCCACATCGTTTCATTTACATATGCAGAACTTATACCGTGGGAACGGTGGGTTTGATCTGAGATTTCAGTGTGACAAATTTGTGGGATGAATTTTCCCAAAGAAACTCCTCCTACCAAGATCTGAAATAATACTAAGATGTGTAGCATCTTTTAGATCATACATATGTATCACATTTTCTATTTTGGATATGACTAGTGGACCAAACACGAATGCGAAGAGTAGTTAACTAAGCTATGTACTACCCACCAACAATTTAACATATGGACTTTTATAACTACCAAACGTTCGGATTTTAGCAATAGGCAAGAACATCCTTATTTCACTTTAATTATATACATGCATGTATTAGAATGACTAATTTACACTTCTCCCTCTAATTACATGTATATGCACTACAGGACGAAATCTGATGTCATCCTAGATTTCTCCTTTTTCGAAACTTTAAAATATTTTGTAGCTCAAACTGTTGGTCGAATTGAAAAACCGTTTTCAGATAAAAAATTCGCCGTGACGAGATATTCAAAACTAGATCCTATGTTGATATGTTTCGATGACTTTTCTCGGGTCAAAAGTTACCAGGCCTAGACTAAGTAAGTTATCACATTGCCGGTACATAAATTACCATCCCGTTTACACAGAAATTATCGGAGCTTAAAAATGGTCCCTTTAACCATCTCCCCACATGCAAATGCACTAGAGGGCAAAAAACTGATATAATCCTACATTTCTCCTATTTTGAAACTTCAAAAATATTTTGTAGCTCAAAGTGTTGATCCGATTGAAAAACCGTTTTCACGTAAAA